TTCTCTACCATGGACCAGAATACAAGATAGCATTTTTTCTGCAGTAGCCTCCAAAGCAAAAACTTCATCAGAAGGACGCCATTGGAGTCTCTTTCAGTTGAAAAGTGCATGCACACAATGTAGTGTCAGATCCAAGGGAGAAGAAAAGGGGGAGGAGAACTGGGGAGACAGGTCGAGAATAAGGAGATGAAGGGACATTTGAGAATCTGATTCTTTTTTCTTGTAGAGATGGGGTCTTGCAACATTGCCCAGGCTAGTCTTGAACTCCTGGGCTCAAGTGATTCTCCCACTTTGACCTCCCACAGTGCTGGGATTACAGGCATGAGCCACCATGCCAGGTCCAGGGAACCTGTTTCTTACAGCCAGGTCTCTTGCACATCCAGACTTCGCCATCCAGGCCTGTGCATGCAGACTGGGAGTCCATTGGGTAGCAGGGGGCAGGAATGGGATTGGCTTTGGCCATGAGGCAGATTAAGCAACATCTGAGGGGAGTTGCTAGTGGACTGAGGCCCAGACAGTGCAGGGGAGAGGGAGAAATGGGGTGGAAGAGTGAGAGGAATTGACATTTTTGGAGCAGTTACTATGAGAGGAATGAGGCTAGGCAAGAAAGAAGAAAGAAAATATATAAAACAAGGACAGGCTGTTGAGCATCTCTTCAGCACATGACCATCTGGTATGTCCTTTACCACCATTATCCTCAATAACCAGTCGCTAAGCACAGCCATGTACCAGCCCTGAGGCCGGGACTATGGGAGCTAGTTCTTACAAGGGCTCACGATCTACTTGGGAAGGCAAGACCTAAAGAAATGACAAGTAAGCTGCAATGGCATATGCTCTATCGAATGAGAGGACAACAATCAGTAAGTGTGCCAGGTCTTAGAGGAAGGGACCACAATGCCCTGGGATGCTTGAGGTCCACAGGGACAGGCTAGGCCTTGAGCCAGAACTTGAGTGCTGGATGGCACTTGAGTGGAAAGGAGGGGCAGAGAGATTGTCCAGATTGGAATGGACAAGGCATAGCAGAAAGTACACAGACGGTACATTCAAGGCACTGTGAACAGCAGTTTATTATTTTTTCCTTCATGCTGTCTCCTGGGGTCCTTAGGAAATGACTCTGTTGTCCTTCACAAGTCCAGCTAGGCCCTGGAATTAATGGCCTTTAGAGAATTCAACAGTATTAAACTCCTACTACGAGTAAATCAATGTTGGGTGTTGTGGAGTATGTGGAAAAGTGCAAAAAAATAGTCCCTGCTTTAAGGACATGAAACAATTTTCCTTCTATCAAATGTCTAGGCAAGGAGAATGACACTGTAGCAGTGAAGTCTCACATCTGATAAAAGGCAGTGGGCTCTGGGCAGCGTGGACAAGTCTAAGAAACACTGGATTTGCCATTTATCAAGATGCTCCATTTGGGGGCGGTCCAAAAGGTCTTTCAGTGACTCAGCAGTTCTCTTCTCAGAATTGGTTCCCAGTTTGTGCCTTCCAATTTCCCAGAATATTCCTTTACCAGCACAAAAACTCACGTACAGCCAATGACGAGTTCAAAGTCAGATGCCAAAGTAATGACAGACTATACCAGTAACTCACCCCACGTCTGGCCACTGAATAAGCCATCACAGACTGCAAATAATCCTAGAAAGAGAGGTACCAAGACAAGAATGAAAGAACCAAAACAAGGATGTGGATAACTTTTAAACTGGTCAGCCTTGGTTGGACAAAACGGACATCTGGAAATCTCAACTTGGCCTAAGAGAAACCTCATCCTGGTCCTTAAAGTGCCAATTAGAGCTGAGTTGAAAAGGAGTTGGGCATCACTGGAGACAACAATGAAAAACAGCATAGGCACCCACAGTGTGATGATGTGGTTATTTTCATGAAGGAGCAGTCTATGGAGAAGTACAGGAACTTTCAAAGTTGCATGGGCAGAGCTGGTTCTTATATGACAGAACTGGCAGCTGCCTGTCACTTCACAGAGAGACACACGAATATGAAGCAGAGAACTGGCTATGTGGGTCATCAGGTGAGCTTAAGACTGCAGATTCTGCGGAATCAGCACTCACTGTGACACATGTGATCCCCTGCCTCCTCAGACAACTGAAGGCTAAGTGCATAATGAGAAGGGCATCTCTGGAACCTTGACTTTTTGGGCTCCAAAGTTCTAGCTGGAAAACCTCTTTTCAAGACAAAAACATACCAAAGTACATTTCAAAGTATTTCGAAGAATTAATCACATGCCCTAACTTTATAACAGAGGAAGGCACGATCTCATTTTTGTGACAGGTGATGCATAATCCTTGCCACAGGTTACCTCCAGAAGAAGGAACTGTACAGCTAAACAGAGCAGATTCTTTGAAACTACAAACCAACCAACAAATAAATAAGGCAAAGAACAGCTGCACATCATCTTAAGATTCCATTTACAGGTCATCTCTCTAAGCCAGGCTATTATGTAATCAAGCAGGAAACTACTACTAAAATTTGATAGTTTCGAGTGGTGGTCTTGTCTTGGATGCTAACAAAACATTTGCTATTGCTTTTCAAATTAATAGAGATGGGGTCTCACTATGTTGGCCAGGCTGGTCTCAAACTCCTGACCTCAAGCAATCCTTCCACCTCCACCTCCCAAAGGGCTGTGATCATAGGTGTGAGACTCTGTGCCCCACCTGTTGTTTTTTAACCAAACGGTCTGTAACTCAACTCTCCCGTTAATTGAGAAAACTCCATTTCCTGACACATCAGACCCTAAAGTGAAGTAGAAGTGTGCAAAACTCTCACTGCACTAAAATTCCCAAGCTAAGGAGTCAATGGAGCTGACCAAATAGCCATGGTAAGGTGTTCCAAAGGGAGATCAGATATATGTAATCTGATTATTAAGAAAGGGAAGATTCAACCTCATATAAAGAACTCTACAACAGCTCTCCAAGCAAGTGAATGAGGTTTTTAACATACTGAGTCACTAAAGCTGTTAAAAGAAATATTTGGATCTAAGTGAATCTGGCAATGTTATTTGAATGAACACCAATTCTGATCTATCCTAAATGTTAAGATATATTTTTGAATAAGATATTTGTGTACTAGGAAAAAAAGAGTGGTGAGCAGACAGAAAGTTGGCCAAAGGAAAATGGATCAACTGACTGGCAGGTTATAGCTATTCTGACACCCTTAATAAAGTCCCTTACTTACTCCGCACTGTACAGACCAGCCTGGGAAACACATGTTGCCAGGCTATTGCAAGAATGTTTGACAGCCCAAGTCATGCTGTCTCAAGGTGAACTTGGAGATAAGTCACCTGTCCTTATGATCTCTCCAAAAGGTTTAAAAATTTCTATGGCTTTTCCTTCATCCATCTCTAAACCAGCCAGAAGCTTTTCAGAGCATTCATGGTTTCCCCAAGATACTGCTATGAAATAACCAGGTCTCTAGCTCAGCAATGGTTCTGTCAAAGCATTATTTGTAACAGTCAACTAGACTAGGGAATCAAGAATTTTGGGCTATGCTCCCAACTTTTTCACTTGCCTACTGAGTACCATTTCGTCCTTTCCTCCCTATTTTTTTAATTCAACAAATATGTATTCAATACCTACTATGTGCCCAGGTCATTACTAGGTGCTGTGTCTACAGGGGCAAACAAGAGGGATAAAGTCCCTCTCACAAAGCATACATTCTAACTGGAGAGAGGCAATGATTTCAGACAGAGATTAGTGTTAGAAAGAAATAGGGGCCAGGCGCGGTGGCTCAAGCCTGTAATCCCAGCACTGTGGGAGGCCGAGGCGGGTGGATCACGAGGTCAAGAGATCGAGACCATCCTGGTCAACATGGTGAAACCCCGTCTCTACTAAAAATACAAAAAATTAGCTGGGCATGGTGGCGTGTGCCTGTAATCCCAGCGACTCGGGAGGCTGGGGCAGAATTGCCTGAACCCAGGAGGTGGAGGTTGCGGTGAGCCGAGATCGTGCCATTGCACTCCAGCCTGGGTAACAGGAGCGAAACTCCGTCTCAAAAAAAAAAAAAAAAGAAAGAAATAGGGAAGCAGGCCAGGCGTGGTGGCTCACGCCTGTAATCGCAGAACTTTGGAAGGCTGAGGTGGGCAGATCACGTGAGGTCAGGAGTTCAAGACCAGCCTGGCCAACATGGTGAAACCCCATCTCTGCTAAAAATACAAAATTTAACTGGGAGTGGTGGTGTCTGCCTGTGGTCCTGGCTACTTGGGAGCCTGAGGCAGGAGACTTGCCTGAACCTGGGAGGTGGAGGCTGCAATGAGCTGAGACAGCACCACTGCACTCCAGCCTGGGCAACAGAGTGAGACTCTGACTCAAAAAAAGAAGAAGAAACAGGGAAGCAGAATTTAGTAAGGGGGAAAGATAGAGGGGAGGGGAAGAAAAGCCCTACTTTAGATAGTCTGGGAAGAGCTCCAGGAGGAAGTGACAACTAGTGGATATCTGCATGACAAGTAAAACATGCGAGGGAAAAACTCTCCGGGCAAATGGAATGGACACAAAGGATCTGAGGTGGTCAAGAGTCAAGAGGTCAAAGGAACGCCTGTGTAGCCAAAAGTAAATGAAGAGAGTGGATAAAAACAAGGAGAGGTGATAGGGCCAGGGAATCAAATGTTATAGGAAGACAAGATTTCAATCAAAGTGAGATGTCAAACCCCTGAAGTTTTTCAGTGGGTGTGAAACCATCTTAAGGGGCAGATTTAATGAGGATCAAGTGTCCTCATTAAGGAGGACTTAGAGAGCTGTGGGTATGATGAAAAAGGAGGTACTCTATGAGAGAAATGCAGGTCATCACTAACCAGACTAGTGTCTTTAGGCCACTGCAGGCCGATTTCCAGTCAACTGGAAATCCCCTCATTTGACAAGCACATAAGTGCCGCTAACAGGCCCCACCCCCCCCACTCTTTTCCAAGTGTCTCCACCTGCAGTGATTCGGTTAGAATGCATTTCTTTCTGCTCTCAGTCAATTCCTGCAGTGTGTAAGAAAGACTACACAGCTGAATGAGGAATGTCAAGAATGTTCATAAATAATAAAGGAGCCACACATACTAGAAATGACATTCTGTCACTAAAAAGCCACACAATATTTCACTTAGAGAATATGCTTAACAAAATATACATCTTAAAAATTCAGCACTCCAGAATGCTTTTTCAATTGTTTCCATTTGAGAAATAAAGAATAAAAATTGGTAATAATTATAGACACAGCTTCATACAATAATCTGGATAATATGCGAGAAGCATCATAATATTTTTCAGATATTTCTCTTTGTGGCTAACGAACCACACATCAAAGGATGGACCAAAGTTCAGATGTACACAGTCCAGGCACCTCCCAGCACAGTAGCAGTGCCCTTGGGGATTTTCTCTCCCTCAGTAAAACACATGGGGGATGGGGAGGAGCCCAGGAGCATCACCAGAAAACACACAACTCAGCTTCTTACCAGCCCGTAGCATCATCAACTATCAAACCATTTGCTCCTCTTTGCAAGAGGTACTCCTTTAGAAGGTCCCAATAATTTCTGCTTATATTGTTCGACCAGCTGGTTGAAGCGGGTTTCCATCTTATTTCCCTTAGTTTTCCTAGATACCTATAAAAGAAAAGGAAAGAAACATAATATAATCGATTTCAGAGACTACGTATCACCTTACCCTCAGACCAACCAAGAGAGAAGGTAACTTGTATGTACAGAGAACATGTCTACCAGGAAGGGGGGGCGGGGGTGTAACCCTTAAGAGAAAAAGCCTCGGGCCAGGTGCAGTGGCTCACACCTGTAATCCCAGCACTTTGGGAGGACAAGGCGGGCGAATCACGAGGTCAGGAGATCAAGACCATCCTGGCTAACAAGGTGAAACCCCATCTCTACTAAAAATACAAAAAATTAGCCAGGTGTGGTGAAAAGCACCAGTAGTCCCAGCTACTTGGGAGGCTGAGGCAGGAGAATTGCTTGAACCTGGGAGGCAGAGGTTGCAGTGAGCCAAGATCGCGCCACTGCACTCCAGCCTGGGTGACAGAGCAAGACTCTGTCTCCAAAAAAAAAAGGAATCATCCACTGGTAAGAAATTAGACTAAGAGTGCACAGGGAGCAGGGTCTGATTAACACGCTGTGTTGGGGGTTCGGGGCCTTTCTCACTATAGCTCCCAAAGGTTTACTTTAGCCTCAAAGCAGATGAGCCAGCACAGAGTCTGACCATTCTTGCTTGCCCGTTCCCTATCCAAGAACACTGCTCATGGGATTTCAGAGATCTCTATAACATATGGTGTAGGTCAGAAACTTCCCAGACACAGATTTCTTGAGTAGGATGGGAAGCTAACGCTCCTTTTACCCTTAAAGGAAAGAGGCTAGGGAAGGGGAGAAGAAAGCTTGACTTTAAGTGTTCAAGAATGTAGGACCACCTAGTTTTCTACTAAAAGGAACTAGGGCTCCTTGGGTAAATGGCTTTTGTCAGGACTGGGGAAGCAGCACCTGAGCTGAGCCTGGGACATCCTGTACTAGAAAGCAAGGATACTACCAGACGAACAGGCCACATCAGAAAGACTCAGAAACCAACCTGCAGGGGCTTCTGCCAGCCTTAGACAGAGTTAAGAATAATGACAGTATTTGAAACACATCAAGTATATGAAAACTCAGGATTTCATAATAATAAAAAATGAGCCAGTATGGTAACAACTGATTACACTGAAAACAGAGTATACAGAGTAATACAGAGAGAGAAAACAATCAAGCATTTATCCTGTCTTTCCTACACAAATGATATTTTGTGGTATCCAAATAATTGACAAGGGGAGATTTTTCTTTCTAGAACCCCATTTAAAAATGGAAAAGGACAGAAGTTTTAGAAATCAGCATTCTGTAACCCATAATGAAATAATGGATCTGGTAACACTCATTAATAATTGCTAAGCCATTAGGTGAAAGGCTAACTGGGGACTTCATCAATGGAAGGATAAGGCAGATAATGCTCAAATCTACTGCTCAATCTCAGTATCACTAAAAATGGGAACCAGTAGTATGTGCCTCAGGTGATGCAAGGAAACACACACACCACCTATGAAATACTCTTGTCAAGAAAACCGAACCTGAGGCCGGGCACAGTGGCTCATGCCTGTAATCCCAGCACTTTGGGAGGCTGAGGCAGGTGGATCACCTAAGGTCAAGAGTTCAAGACTGGCCTGGCTAACATGGTAAAATCCCTCACTACTGAAAATACAAAATTAGCTGGGCATGGTTGCACATGCCTGTAATCCCAGCTACTCGGTAGGTTACTCTGGGAGGCGGAGGTTCTGGTGAGCCGAGATTGTGCCATTGCACTCCAGCCTGGGCAACAAAAGCAAAACTCCATCTCAAGGAAAAAAAAAAAAAAGAAAAGAAAACTAAACTCGATCAAGCCATCAGACTGAACTACCAGTTTACAGGTAATATGGGTGTCACAGAAACAAGTTAAATGACACCACAAGGAAGCAAATCCAAAATGTAACACAAATGACCTGGTTTCTCCAATAAATGAACAGCATGGAAAAATGGGCCATAAGGGAGAATGGATATTATAGAAGAAAAAGTGATTTAAGAAATTAAAAACCCAAGTGTCATGTGGGACTTTGGACCCCAACTCATACTAACCAAGTATAAAAATATTCTTCAGGCAGTTGGGGAAATTTTAATATGACTTTAATATATCATTTGTGTAGCAGATGATATTAAGGGCTTCTCATTAGTTTCATTAGATATTATAATGGCATAAGGTGTGTGTGTTTAAGGCCTGAGCAGTTAGAGGTACACTCTCAGGTTTTTCTGAGTAATATGTTTCATTTTCATATGAGACACATTTACATGTGAAATGGGCTTTGCTTTAATATCCTCTAGTGGGGAAAGCATATTATGGGAAATATGTAAAACAAGGAGACTGCTGAAACAGAGAAACAGATACATGGAGGTTCATTTTACTTTTTTCTCTCCACTTTTATGACTGTGTATATCAACATTCTCTAAAAAGCTACAGTACTACACAGAAGTCTTTTTTTTTTTTTTCTTTTTTGCTCAATTAACCAAGGTAAAACATGGCTACAACCTGGCAGAACCATGCCGTACCAAAGCTGTATGTCCTGCAGAACTCACCTGCTTGGAAGATAACTGCTGTTTCTCCTGTTTCCACTGGCTTATCTGGGGCTTTGGCTTTTTGGGATGGACGGGCTTCACTTTGCCTTTGTCCCGCAACCTGAAATAACATGGCTGAGTGTCACCTTGAGTCCTTCTTCTAACTGGCACTCCTAGGTTCTCTGAGCTCAAGAAGTAAAATTCCTCTTTGCACACTGGCCCTTCCCAAGCCCATGATAAGTGAGGTCATTCTAAAAAGGGATACTGCAACAGACCCTCTGAAGGTTCAATATTTGCATACTTGTTTTTGTGGGTATTTTTGTTTTTGTTTTGGCTTAAAACCTCATGGAGGCCAAGCATGGTGATTCATGCCATCATCTCAGTACTTTGGGAGGTACAGGTGAGAGGACTGCTTGATGCCAGGAGTTTGAGACAAGCCCAGGCAACACAGCAACCCCAGTCTCTACTAAGATACAATAAAAAAAGTCCCAGCTACTAAGGAGGCTGAGGGAGGTGGACGGCTTGAGTCCAAGAGTTTGTGGTTACAGTGCACTATGACCATGTCACTGCACTCTAGCCTGGGCAACAGAGCAGGACCCTGTGACACAGTTTGAATCTGTGTCCTTGCCCATATCTCATGTTAAATTGTAATCCCCAGCGTTGGAGGCTGGGCCTGGTGGGAGGTGACTGGATAACGGGGATGACTCCAGGAATGGTTTAGCACCATCCCCTCAGTGCTGTTCTCATGACAGTGAAAAGGTTATCAGAAGATCTGGTTGTTTAAAAGTGGTAGCACCTCCCACACTCCTTCGCCTTGCTCCGGGCCATGTGAAGTGCTGGCTCCCACTTCACCTTCCACTGTGATTGTTAAGTTTCCTGAGGCCTCCCTAGAAGATGAGCAGCATGCTGTCATGCTTTCTGTACAGCCTGTGGAACCATGAGCCAATTAAGCCTCTTTTCTTTATAAATTAACCACTCTCAGGTGTTTCTTTATAGCAGTAGAAAAACTGAATAATACACGGTCTCTAAAAATAAATAAATAAAACCCTACAGATATCTCAAAAGCCTTCGTTGATTTAACAAACATTTTGTAAAGATTTAATTTTGTACAGCACTAATCCGCTGCCCCAAATAGAAACTACAACTGAACCTCAAGTATGCGGCCTCAGCTGGCAGAGATGGCCATCTGGACAAAAGGAAGCTCTTCAAAAGGAAAAAAGGGGCACAAAAGCCTGCCCTAGGAGGCCCCTCTGCCATTAAACTAAGAGTGACATCTCTGACGGTTTTGAAGACCCACATGTTAACCCTGTATGTGGGAATGCATACACCAAGCATCCCTTTCAGCCAAACAAATGCCACAAAGAGAAAAGAACTCAGCAAAAACAAACCCACTTAGAAGCCACCCTCTGTTCTATGCCGCCGCCCTCCTGCATCTCACCTGATTTTGGGTCCTCGGTGTGAGGGGAGAGCCAGGACCTTTCTTCTCCTCTTTCCATCAGGCAGCTCCACCTGCTCCACTTCAGCCTTGGTCTGGAAGCCGGTCCATGAGGTAGAGCCTGCCTTCCTCTTCTGCTCTGGGGGCGCCTTGTTTTGTTCCTCTGTGTGGTGGTGAGCTGCCTTCTGTTGCTGGTCTTTTGCAGGCTCTGGTTGCCCGTTCTGAGGCTTAACAGTTGCAGGCTTGGATCTCATTTTTTGCTGCATAAAACAAGAAAATGCCATCTGGTTTCTGGATGAGCTTTCCTTGCTGCAAATACTCAGCAGAAGAGGGGCTTTATGTGAGTTAGATGAAAGAAGAGGAATTCTTCCCCTACGCAGTTGGAGACTCAAGGAAAGTGAATACATGTAGTTCACAAGCCCTGCCATAGTCACAGATGGTTACTAGGTGGGGGGCGCAAAATAACCATTTCCCCTTCCCATAACACAGAAATAAGGGAGCGTGCATGCCCACGATTCAAAGCCAGTAGGAAGGACAATTATCAAAGGTGTAACCTATGTAGAAGGAGAATGCAAGAAGAGAGACAACAACAGAAGAGATACTGAAGTAATAAGGGCTGAGAATTTTTCAAAACTAATGACAGTCACTAAACCACAGATCTAGGAACTCAGAGAAGACCAAATAAGATAAATACTAACCAATCTACAACTAGTAATATCACAGACCAACTGCAGAAAATCAAAGATAAAATCTTGAAAGAAGCCAGACAGGGGAAAAATTTTACCTATAGAGGAACAAGGATGAGATTACATCAAATCTCTCTCTCTTTTGTTTTTAATAGGCAGCCTCCCAAACCAGGGTAGGTTCAGAGAGATTCCCCAGACTTCTCTTCAGAAACCATGTAAGCAAGAAGGGAGTGAAGTGAGATATTTAATATTTAAAGTTTTAAAAGAAAAAAAAAGTCACCAACCTACAATCTGTATCCAATAAACTTATCTTTCAAAGGTGAAGGAAAAGACTTACTCAGACAAACAAAAATTGAGGGAATTTGTTACCAGTAGACTTGTCTTACAAGAAATACTAAATAAATTTCTTCAGAGAGAAGAAAAATGACATAGGTCAGAAACTTGGATTGTTATCAAGAAAGGAAGAACAATAGGAATGGAATAAATGAAGTGAAGACAACAAGGAAAAGATGCTGTGGGCAGGAAGGCATAGAGGATGTTACAGATGTATTTGCACTGAAGTGGAAGAAACAGAAGATTCAAGTAAATTAATGTAATGATAAGTGTGTATTGTTCTTCCCTTTCACTTTAGAAATCCAGAGAGGTACAATGATACAATGAACATTTATTATATGCCTATTGTGTATCAGTCTGTTTCTAGGACACACAAAAAATAGTGTCTACCCTTCAGGACTCACAGCCAGGTGGAGATAAGAGATGCACACATAAATAAACCAAAGTTAAAAAAAAAAAAAAACTACATAGCGTAAGGAAGTTCATGAAAGTCAAGTAAAGAGGGCCTTATATCTTTTGCGAGAGGTGGGGGAATGCTACTTGAAGGGATCATTTTATCTGAATATGCAAAGTGAGTAGAGGTATTTTTACACAGAAAGAACAGTATGAATATAAATACGGGCAACAAACAAAGTAATCTGGATGTTAAAAAACAAACAAGGCTGGGCTCAGTGACTCACACCTATAATCCCATCAGTTTGGGAGGCCAAGGCAGGCAGATCACTTGAAGTCAGGAGTTCAAGATCAGCCTGGCCAACATGGTGAAACCCCATGTCTTCTAAAAAAAAAAAAAATACAAAAATTAGCCAGGCATGGTGGCGTACACCTGTTATCCCAGCTACTTGGGAGGCTGAAGCAGGAGAACCGCCTCAACTCAGGAGGCAGAGGTTGTAGTGAACTGAGATTGCACTACTGCATTCCAGCCTGAGTGACACAGCAAGACTCCATCTCAGACAAACAAACAAACAAAACTGGTAGCTTCAGAATCACCTCTAAAACAATGGCCAAAGTTAAAAAACAATTGTATTATCTAGGATAACAAAGTTGCCTTGACCAATCCTCAGATCCCAGATTTTCCAACCCAGGGCCATTGCATTAACCACCAGAATGGCTCATCTGTTGGTAACACTCTTGGCATACACTACAAAGACTACAAATGTTTGCTCTATACGCAAGTTAGCTTTGCTGTACAGTATCAATGAGAACTCCATGAATGACAGAGTCAAGATAATCTGGCTCTGGGGGAAGATGGGTAAGAGAATGAGTACTGACTGCGTGCTGACCATGTAGTATGTTAGACGATGGACACGTATTATCTCATTTAGTCCTCAGCAATCATGTGAGCCAGAATTGTTCACCCATTTTACAAACTGAAGTTCAGAGCAGTAATAACTGCCAAGGAACAGGTAGCAAAAAAGGGCAGAGTCAGAGTCTGAGCATGAGTACACCTATTCCTAAAGTCCCTGTTCCACCCTCTATACCACACCAGATTAAAAACAGTACTAAAACTATCAGGCTTCACACTTCTGGAGCCAATAAGAGAAAATATGGAAGAGATAACTGAAAGCTACAGGTAATGGGAAACCTTAGCCTCAACTATTAATTTTGGCACGTACTATCACCAAACACTGTCAAGAACTGCCGACTGGAAACAGCATTAGTCTGTTTCCTCTCTCCTTCCTTTCCCTTCTGCTGTAGAGCTATCAGACACGGGTCAGCAGATAAGACAATGGCCTGGAGAGGCTTAGGGAACTGGGAGTAAAAGGAACTGGGAGCAAAAAACCTAACTGAGGGAAGAACTACTCTATGAGGGCAGAAGCACAAACTGAACAAAATAGAAGAGTTTAATTATGTCCTTAAAAATATGGACCATTTAATTTCTGTACCAAGCTGCGCTGGATCCTTAGTTCCTTCATTTTAAGTTTTCTTCGATCTTCTAAAGAGAACTCCACTATTGGTCTCTGTCAGTGGGAGACAGAATGTTATTCATTAGACTTCTTAATCTATGCATGCAATGAGCTGAGTTGTTCCCCTTCACACATCCTCCCACAACCCGCCCTTTTTTTTGTGTGTCCACTTGCCACCCTTTCCCACCCGTCAAATGTCAGAGGATACAGGGCATGAAGAAGGTTTGTCTCCTACAAGTGGTCCTCAGGAAACAAGTCTCCCAGAGGATGAGGCTTACCTTCTGCGGCCCAAAGATTTCTGGATTGTTGTTGATGTGGCGGAGGGCTTTCAGGGCATGCTCGTGCTCCTGGAACTCTGCAAAGGCGTAGCCCAGGGACTGACCCTTCATGTTCCCATGAGCACCTTTGAGGTCTCGCATCACTCTACACTATGAGTAGAGCAAGAAAAAAATCAGTTAATTACAGAACGAGAAGCCTTGCCTGACATAAGCTGCTTTAATAATCAGGTTATTGGGTGGGCATGGTGGCTCATGCCTTGTAATCCCAGCAATTTGGGAGGCTGAGGTAGGAGGATCGCTTGAGACCAGGAGTTTGAGACCAGCCTGAAAAACATGGCAAAACCTTATCTCTACAAAAAAATAAAAAATTAGCCAGGTATGGTGGCACATGCCTGTAGTCCCAGCTACTCAAGAGGCTGAGGCAGGAGGATCACCTGAGCCTGGGAAGGTTGAGGTTGTAGTGAGCCATGACGGCACCACTACACTCCAGCCTGGGCAACACAGTGAGACCCTGTCCCAAAAAAAAAAAAAAAAAAAAAAATCAGGTTATTGAAACATAATCTTCGTTTATACCACCATCACAAAAATCACACTGGAATAAGAATAATAATAATAATAATAATAACACATTTACGTGTGTTCGTCTTCTTAGAATTCACCTACTAAGAGCACAAAACAGATTAATATGATACTTTCTTGCTTTCTACTACTTTACAGACACCAACAGAGACCTAAAAATATTTTTTAAAAAATCAGGCCGGGCGCGGTGGCTCAAGCCTGTAATCCCAGCACTTTGGGAGGCCGAGGCGGGTGGATCATGAGGTCAAGAGATCGAGACCATCCTGGTCAACATGGTGAAACCCCGTCTCTACTAAAAATACAAAAAATTAGCTGGGCATGGTGGTGCGTGCCTGTAATCCCAGCTACTCAGGAGGCTGAGGCAGGAGAATTGCCTGAACCCAGGACGCGGAGGTTGCGGTGAGCCGAGATCGCACCATTGCACTCCAGCCTGGGTAACAAGAGTGAAACTCCGTCTCAAAAAAAAAAAAAAAAAAAAAAAAAAGAAGTACATGGTATTTTAAGTTGTGTAACAAGTTATTACCGAGGATGGAGTACTGTCCACAGATCTTACCACTGAAAAAAGCCCTCAGGAAGGAAATTATTGAAGAAGGGAAGGAGAAAGGCCTGATGGCTTTAGATAAGAAAGACATTTCAAGCATAGCAAGCCTCTCCAACATACAGCCTCAGAAATATAGGAAGAAGTTTCAGCTCTATTTGCTTGCAGCTCAGATCGTCTCTATTAAGCCAGATGTAGTAGACATCTGGGTCACCAAAGTATCGTATGATTTTTTTGAGAAAATTGATCATTTACATGCTATTATTACTACTGAAGCTGTCGTTCTTCAGTATTGAAGGCTAAGTATTGGAGAGGGCTAAGTATTGGGGACACATGGATGCCACATTTAGTTTACATCCAGTGTCTACTCTGTGCCTAGAACTGTCCAATACTGTAAGGAATCAAAAGAAGCATATAATGAAGGTCCTGTCCTCAAGATGCTTACTATCTTATTGAGACATTCACAATATGTACACATCGGAAAGAATTAAGAGAAAAATTCAACATAATGCAAGTATTACAGAATACACATAAATTTCTCTAAATTATGACAGGTGTTAAATGTGCAGACATTAAGTATTTGGATGATATGAGAAATGACACAACTGTCCCCTATGAGCAGTTTTACTAAGAGTGGTGTCAGATATGTGCTGATATATTCACATTCTTTCACGTAATTTCCCAAATACCAATCCATACATTTTGAAAAGGTTTCAGTTTATGTTGGTGAAACAGAGTAAAGCAGACCCAAAATACTGGCAATGGCACTTTTAAAATAAATACTGACCGAAAGATTACTATGTGCCAGGTACTATGCTAAGGACTGGGGATAATGAGATAATGTTAACCTCAAAAACTCAGTCTAGTGGGGAGAAGTGACTGATGGACCATTTCAGGCCAGGGTAACAGTAAGCAGTATGATAGAGATATGCAAGGCCAGGCCCAGTGGTTCACACCTGTAATCCCAGCAATGTGGGAGGCCAAAGCAGGGGCATCGTCTGAGCTCAGGAATTTGTGACCAGCCTGGGCAACATGGCAAAACACTGTCTCTACCAAAAACATAAGAAATTAGCCAGACATGGTGCTGTGTGCCGCCTATAGTCCCAACTACTTGAGAGGCTGAGGTGGGTGGACTGCTTGAGCTTGAGGCGGAGGTTGCAGTGAGCTGAGATGGCACCACTGCACTCCAGCCTGTGACAGACCAAGACCACATCTGAAAAAAAAGAAGAAAAGACAGAAATATGCAAAGGGGGATGTGGAGGCCGAGTAGAAGTTCTGAACTCACACAGAGTCTAACCAAGTTGGTGTGAACCCAGTTTTTTTTCTAATTCAACTGCTGAACACCTACATGGTGTTGACCACAGGGCATAGGGACTTCCTGTGTTGACCACAGAGCACAGGGGACTCTGACAATGGGGTAAGAATCTAACTAGTAGTCAAACACTCTTCCAAAAAGCAAAGCAGATTATTTTCTCTGCAAGAAAATTCACATGATAGCACAAAGTATAATGCTAAGCACACAACAGGCATTTAATAAATGCCTGCTAAATTAACTCAGGCAGACAGACTTCCTCACATTCTGCTGTGATTTGGTCAAATGTAAAAAGCAATTCTTAGAAAAAAAAGAACAAAACCAAGAAACTGCTGAACTCGGCCTTGCATGCTGACATGTCCAAAAGAAAGTCTGCTGATGGCCAGATGCAGTGGCTCACACCTGTAATCCTAGCACTTTGGGAGGCCGAAGTGGGCAGATCATTTGAGGTCAGGATTTCAAGACCAGCCTGGCCAACATGGTGAAATCTCTTCTCTACTAAAAATACAAAAATTAGCCAGGCGTAGTGGTGAATGTGTACAGTCCCAGCTACTCAGGGGGCTGAGGCAGGAGAAATCCTTGAGCCCAGGAGGAGGAGGTTGCAGTGAGTCAAGTTCGCACCACTTGTGCCAGCCTGGGCGACAGAGCGAGACTTCATCTCAAAATAAATAAATAAATAAATAAAAATGTGTTGATATGCTGGCACCACAGCCTGAGAGAAATGCTTGATCTGACCCAAGATCAGAAGGAAAGTTCTCAACAAACAGGGCCAAGTCTCACCTCCTTGATGCGCACCCCTTTCTCTCCTCTAGTAGCACTCAGCAGCAGCTTTCTGAGCTGTTTGTCATCTACAGCCTTTGGGAGATTGTGCAGGCAGAGCCTGGTTCGGGAGACAAAGATATTCTGGTCCTTGAGTTTCTGATGCTTCAGCAGCTCAAACTGAAAGAACGACCAATTGTTAACAGTACAACCCACCCTTTCTAAGAGGCAGGCTCATAATTCTCCAAAAGGAAAAGAACTATGATCCCCATCCCATAACCACACATATACAAAAGGGAAGGAAACTGCCCATACCGCAGCTTTACAATGTCCAGTACAGGAAAAGAAAAGTTCAAGGGGACAAGACAGTGGGTGGGTAATAATAAAATCATAGGCTCTGGAGAGCCATCCCTAACTGGAGAAATACATAAAATTTTAAAGCCTCAATTTTTCATCTACAAAATGCAGCAGTAGACCAATGTCTCTGGCACTGATGTGAGGCCAAAATGTGATAATATAAGGCTGAGCAAGGTGGTTCATGCCTGTAATCCCAGCACTTTGGGAGGCCAAGGCAGGCGGATCACCGGAGGTCAGGAGTTCAAGACTAGCCTGGCCAACATGGTGAAACCCTGTCTCTACTAAAAATACAAAAATTAGCCAGGCATAGTAGTATATGCCTGTAATCCCAGCTACTCGGGAGGCTGAGGCAGGAGAATCGCCTGAACCTGGGAGGTGGCGGTTACAGCAAGCTGAGATCGCACCATTGCACTCCAGCCTGGGCAACAAGAATGAAACTCCATCTCAACAAAAAAGAAAAGAAAATTCCTACCTCAAAATGCAGCCCAGAGCAAATAACAACTAATACTGTGGTTAACATATATGCCTAGTCCTCATCTACCTACCAACTCAACTGATTATCTAATCCTTCCAAAAGGAAATGGAACTTATTCAAAGAATACTTGAGAGAATGCTGTCTCCTCTCAACTCTGCCACCCTGAGGCAAAGGAATATGACCACAGAACCGTATTTTGCTCTTAGAGCAATATCCTCAACTATACTGCCACAAAACCCTAATTCCTGTGTGATCTGTGTCTAAAATGAAATGAAAGATGACATTCTTCTCCCAATTAGTTTTCAAAACTAAGTTGATAGAAAAAAAGTTTTCAATTATAAGTTTTTCTTTTGTCAAGTCTTCTCAGTCTTGCTGCTTCTTGTTTGGTAAAAGTACCAACAAATCACAAAATAAACCAATCTCCTGGAAAATAACAATCAAAGGAACATCTGAAGAGGCTATGTTTAAGTTCAACAGACTGTTTTTCTGTCAGGAAAAGCTGTGCCTGCTGTGAATTTACAATGCATACATATCACTGAATGAGCTTTTTGCTAACAAAATTAGTTTTAAATTAAATATGTCATTATTGCATTGTGCTCACAAAAGGGTACATAATGCCCCCAAATACCATAATTTCCAGATGTTCACTACCAGAAAAGTTGAAAACACTAGTGCAGAATCTGTGCACACTGAAAAAAGGCACACTGCAAAAAGACACACGGCCTCCTGCTGTCACTACACTATCACCCCTGTTCCTCAGCTTCATAGCTGATTCTGTTCATGATTATGCATCTTTACCATTATAGGTGGGCTTGGCTTTTTGAAAATAAGTTACACAGGAAAAAGTAAAAATTCCTGGGAACATTACCAAACACCAAAGGAACATAACGTTTATCGGTTAACACTGAAAACGTCCTTAAGATGGGGTTTTTCTAAAATGATTTTATAATCTGGAGATTCCGTATCTTCTTCCTTCCCTAATAACTCTAGCCCGTTCTCATCTTCCCTTCTTAAGTTATTCTGTGCTTATACTGACACCTAATTATATGTGGCCCTAGCCTCTGTGTACTGCACGACCGAGCAGCATGTGCTCAGCAAACATTTACTGTCAAGCACTGGGGAAACAAAGACTAAGACACAGATCTTTTATACTGGCATAGAAGGCAGACAGAATACTATGTATAATGTTGGGTTAATAGCTGTTTCACCTATGCTTTTCTAACAGGGCAGTAAGTACAGTCTGTGACCATACTTGGCTCTTTGATGAGCACATCTAGCATTCCGTAACTATTTTTGATTGACTCATAGGCCATGTAGAACCTGAAGGTCAAGGCCTAATCTACTCACCCGTTCTCTTTTGGCCATATCAGCAGCACTCACACCCTCTGCAGCCTTCGTCCCAGCGCGAATTACTACAGAAAGAGGGGAAAAAGGCCAAGACATCAACAAGGGAATTTTCACTGAGCAACCAGAGGAATGTGATTTGAATGATGCAAACTCTTTGTACAGGGCCCAGAGGACTATGTTGGCCAGGACATGATGGCATTTGGTTAGGTCCAGAAATAGGTTACAGGGCTAAGTTCTGGGCTCAGAGCTGCTCTCAAGGACTAAAATTGTGAACCTTTTGTGATTTTATTCCTCTTCTCCTCCACTCCCCTCCAAGAAGCTTCATGTACGTGCCCAAAGTCAGAAAGAAAGGCCTGGAAGAAGTATAGAACATAAGTACATTTGGGCATTTGGAATGCACAATGTTCCACCTATAATCTGCCTTTGGAACTTAACTTTGCTGTTCCTTATGTACTTGAGGTCCATTACTAAGCAGTGAGATAAGCCAGCAGAAAACAGTTATGTTGCCATAGACAACTAGTATTGAAGGTTAATGGACATTACTAGTGACCGAATGTGTGCTCCTTCCAGGTCCACAAGGGGGTGTAGTCTTAAGGGCAAGAACTTCCCAACGCCATGCCCCCCACCCCATGCCTCTCCCTCCAGGAGATTTAACAGTTTCTGTTTAATTTTCACATGCCAGGGAAGAACCAAAAAGTCAATCACTCCAGTGGAGGTTTAAAGGAACTCTTTTCATTGGCCAGGGGGCTTGGAAAAGGTGCGAATTCCTTCCAGGTTAAAAGTCTCCTTCTCCTACACCCCTTTGGATTAAATACTTAGGTCCCCTTCCGCACTCTTCATGGAAGGCTTTTTCTTTCTCATCTTTTTCTCTCTCCTTTTTCTCTTTCTCTGCCTAAATAAATCACTTTCTGCAAACACTTTTTGGGGTCTGGTATTTACGAGTGTACCGCGCCCGCTGTGGTCCCCTCTCCCATTCTTGGGAGAGCGAGAGACCAAGAGCCTGGAGCCCAGTGGGGAACGAGCTGAGCACTCCCCTGCACCCCAAAAACCCGGCAACACTAGTACAGGCTGTGAAGCTATGGAGGAGGTGAACTGATAAATACTGTGGGACCTAGAAGAATTTTCTAAAAAATGTAAAGCTAATTTATGATTGTCTTTCTGACATTAAAGGAAAGTACTGGGTATACATTTTAAATCCATGAATAATCCAAAAGAATAATTTTAGACATAATGAAAACCTCTGATTAGAAATGACAAGAAGCAAAGGTATTTTGAGTTCTTTCTCCCTGTTTGCCTTGCCAATCCTCTATTGAAAAATAAGGCAATTAGGGCCGGGCGCGGTGGCTCAAGCCTGTAATCCCAGCACTTTGGGAGGCCGAGGCGGGTGGATCACGAGGTCAAGAGATCGAGACCATCCTGGTCAACATGGTGAAACCCCGTCTCTACTAAAAATACAAAAAATTAGCTGGGCACGCACCACCATGCCCAGCTAATTTTTTGTATTTTTAGTAG